GAAATCAGGAGAACTTCTCTCTTACAAGCTGGCGATAGCAAAGGAAAACTTTTATAAAACGATTACACATAGACGTTTATTGATAAAGATATAGAGAAACTAACACGAAATCCTATATTGTTAGTAGCAGCAGAGGAAAGCCTGTTTATTAGTGTATCCCGTAAAAAAGAGCCGGTTACCAAAACACAAGTAATAAAATGGAACATCACAAAAAATACCGAAACCTAGACAGGAGCAGTCAACCGTCCTGGCAACCTAACCACTGAGCTATCTCGACGGTTGATTTGAGTAACAAGGATAAGCTGCGGGCATTCACGTTATCAATGGTGGTTCATTCATTCAGGCTCTTCTGCGGTGTGTCCCATTTTGGTCAAACAGCCGATTGGCTTTCCGTCCTCATCCTCAACGACGACCACTATCACCACAATGTGGTACAGCGTCACCCAGAAGCTCCATCGTTGAATACGGGTCGCCGCATAGATACCAACAAAGTATTCGGCGGAGTCTGCAGAATGGCAATCCACACCTCCAAAGCTGTACTGACGTGCACACTGGAAGTAAATGAGCAATTAATATCCAGATCGACGAACCTAGTTTTTTGAAGTCAGCTAGACTACTCTGGCTGAATCGTCCTAGTGGTCAAGAAGTTGTGAGTCATCTGTCAAGTCAAACTCTAACTGGGACTTGACAATTTGGGTCCATGCAGAATGTAAGGTTGACGGAAACTAGGAGACTGCGTTGACCTGATTAGCCCCAAGAAAAGCGCAACCGGTTGTGGGTCACTGAGGAGTTTTCAGCTGCCCGTCAAGAGACCAAGCGGCATTTCCCGTGTTTTTTTTCTCTCGAATTTCGGTGTTTTTACCTCGTTTTTCACATGTAAACATATGTTGTAGCCAGTTTTGGGTCCAGCAGAATGTAAGGTTGACGGAAACTAGGAGACTGCGTTGACCTGATTAGCCCCAAGAAAAGCGCAACCGGTTGTGGGTCACTGAGGAGTTTTCAGCTGCCCGTCAAGAGACCAAGCGGCATTTCCCGTGTTTTTTTTCTCTCGAATTTCGGTGTTTTTACCTCGTTTTTCACATGTAAACATATGTTGTAGCCAGTTGGTAATTGCTTCAGAACAATTTTTTCGCCTCAAACCTCTTGTCAACATGGTAATCTTCGTGAAATCAGTCTCATTGATATTGGCTGTCAGAAAACTCCAGTTCGTCCTGATACTTTTTTCTGGATCGCCGGCTATATACACGAGGAGGGCTACGCCTTGGGTCTATGTGGACTAGTCACTTTGGGGGTTTCAATTTCCTGTGGACTACTAAGGCATGCCTCGTCATTTGACCTACGTTTCACTCAGTTAGCCGAGTGGCCGTGGATAATCCTCTCAGCTGGAGGTAAACCTCATTCAGAAACATTACTCATCAAATAAAGCTGCCGTACGAGCATGCCGTGAACTGAACCGGTTGTGGCATCGTGTTTGGTGTACGACGAAGCTTTCCACGTCCCCCGGTACTCTTCAAATTTGCCATCGATCGGTCTCTTGAATGAGCATTGAAGGGATACCCTGGAATCGAGTTAGCTCCCAAATCCAGGATAGCTGACTTGAAATATACCGTTGAAATCTGGTAGCTGATGACTTGGAGGGAACTCAACCACTGCTGAATAACCTGACTCATCACGCAACACTCATGGGACTGAAGATAGAAACACCAAAGGCTATTTCTGTGTCTGCCAAATCTCTCAACGTAAGGGGTGAAATACTCCAGCGCATCGCCAATTTCAGACATGTTGGTTCCACAATTCAACCCAAAGAAAAGGCTAAAGAGGAGGCACAATAGCCTATGGGTAGTGCTCTGTCAGCCTTTATGAAGCTGAATAGTCTTGTGGAAATGAACAGGGGTTAGTTTACGCATGAAAATCCGAGTCTTCAGTGCAACGACCAGTCCGGCTTTTATTTGAGCCTGCACCAGAAAAGTTTATCCGAAAGCTGTGGGTTTTGACCACCGATTTCTCCGACCTGTAATGAGATTCCACTAACTAAGGATGTCCAATGATAAAAAACAAAAATGTTGTCATGACCTACCCGAATCATTTGACGACGGCATCTGTTACGCAGGAACGACGCTGAACTCACTGAAGGAATGGTGGACCTAACACCATGTCAAGGATCGTGACGTTCCCTCAAACGACAACTGAAAATTGAGTTCACTACGATAAAAAGCTATTCGAAACAGTGCACTCTACACGTGGCTTCCGAGTCGTCACTAGACCGCGATTCGTGCGGACCTAACAGCAGACTGACGTGCCTGAGAATCGTGCATCCGGGACATAACCGAAATTGACTAGTCCTGCTTTAGGTTGCTCGAAATTAGGTAAAAGTGCTCCTTACAATCATGAATCATACTACCTCATAACAAGGGTGAATAAAATTGCATCACGCGTCAGTTCTTATCACATTGCTGACCAAAACATTAAGCTCAGTTTGTCCACTATCGGGTCAGCCAACAATAAGGCACAAAGAGATAGGAGTTCCAACAGGGTAGGACAGATACATGACCGACCAAAGCGCAATAAACACTTCCATCGGTGTCCTAGACCGGAATCTCATATCAAACAGGCGTGCGAACTGGGTCATGTGGTCACTTTGCATTCACTCAATGTTGACAGTTGACTAACAGGACATGTATCAACGTAAACAACGAAGGAACTGGTGTCATTCGAAACTTGGATGGCATCAACGAAAAAGCGAGTCAACGGTTTCATGCTATCATTCTGAGGCCACTACACTTGACGGAAGGTAGATGGCACCTTGGGAGACAGTCAGTTTACGCTGAAGAGCGAGCTGAAATGATAAAATTCCCGGCCGGCAACCGTAAGGCCGCCGTGATAACCGACAATCAGCTTTGGGTGAAAGGAGGAAAGTCCTTCGCTCCAAAATCGCTTCTTGGCAAACACGAACTAAACATATACAAGCCGCTAGCTCATATGCATAAGGGAAGCCACTCACAAGGTTGCTGAACACTCCTCGACAGCCCACGACCGGTTTCGCCCATTTTGGGGCTCATCAGGTAGGCGCAGTCCCCGACTTTCCGTCAATCTCTTATCCGTCCTACTGGATCCAAATTGGATTAATTTCGACAAACACTTATTTGCATATCAATTTGGTTTTCACAGGAGACTCGACTGAATCTCCCGTTCATGAGATTCTTCAACTGAATGTGCTGCACAAAGGCCGCCTCGTGTTTCATTTGGTACGACATTCGATATATATATATATATACTATGCGTAAGGTTACTGAAAACACTTATACAGCCCCCTGGACGTTCACTGGCTATTAAACAAGAGTAAGCGAACACCGCAAAGCAGCTCCGTAAGTTCCGTAACAACCTTCACCTTCTATCAAATGCGGTGGTGCTTGGACACCAGACTATCACAAGTATACACCGTAACCTGGGTAGTCACGCACTGCAGATAGGGCTGGTTGAAAAATCCGTTTTTTTTTCGGCAAAGACAGGTGAAAGCAGAAGCAAACATTGCCAGACTTTCGCATCGCCACTCACTAAGCGTTCTTTCGCACCTGCAAACTATCTTTGTAAGCTTAAATCTCCTCTCTGCCTACCCGTTGTGCGACAGAAATCTACGTTGTTTAACAAGGCAGGTGTGGCAGCCGTTTACCTTTTGCCGAGCTCCATTTTCTTTAAACTGAGACCAAATTTACAATAACCCAACTGGAACTATATGTATGGAATTACAGGGTCTCGAATGAGGAATATTCGCGCAATTCCTGGAATATTACCCACTGAGCAGCTAATAAAAGGGAGTGCAACCCCAAACCATCATTAAAAAAAACCCAACACTGCGTTTGTAAAACTACGCTCCGGAAGAGATATCAGTTCACGTGATAGTCCTCAAGTGTCTGTGCCCTAGAAGTAGGCACCCTTATCGTGCGGAATATCAACCAGACCATTCTTCATGAAGTGCACTAAACACACGGGTCTCAAACACCACGTGAACTACTGGGGAGCAACAAATCACAACTTCTAAATGATCCGATATCTCGTCAAACTAGTGGGACTGTGTCGTTACCATTCACTTTTAAACAGTGAAGTGGACATCGGCCTATACGGACTACCTGCCTCTTTACTGTTATTTGAAAGAAAGAAAGAAAGCGTTCAGCTGTAGCAACCTTTCGGTGCCTAACTGCCATGCCACCCAAAGGTTGCACGAGGGCTGGGATACTGCCAGGTTGCCCAAGCCTAGATAGGGGAAGTCGAGTGGCAGAGTTCGGGTTCGAACCACGGACCTTCCGGTCAGTAAATTCGCGCTCTAAGCACTTGGGCCATCCCGCCCTACTCTTAAAGTGAAGTAGCTTGAATCAATTCTGATGACCTCAGACACCACAAACTTATATCCACAACACGTTTTAATCCTCCCAGCAGAATTGGAATATCCAGAAACATTTGACTCTTGAATGTACCTTTGGAAAGCTACTCCAGCGGCTCATTATTGTTCCCAAGCGGCAGGTTCGTCATTCTCCAACAAAATGTCACCAATACGCAGATCTTGTCGCTCAAGGTGAGACATGTAATGATAATAATGATGTTCTGTTCAGACCGACGGTATACTCGCAGCGTCACCGCATATTTGAAGCTTAACAAACCGCGAACCCTGAATATCACCGAATGGCTAACAAGGGGACTGTGGTGGGTTCGTGAAACTGAAGTCATCTCAGTGAAAGCTTGATCACCTGTGTACGAATAGTGGGATCCAGTACAAGTTATTTTCTGCATGGGATGACGAATGTGAAAGCATCCACTGCGACCGTGTTAGGTGGGTGAGTTGCAATCATCTCGCTCATCATATAGATTGGGGTGCATCCCACCGCACCACGGGAAAAGTGGAATTCCGTGTGCTGATTCGGTAGTGGTAAACTTCAACACAGTAGCAATGGCGGCGACCTAGAAGCCGAACTTCGTGAACACGAAAAACAAATGGCTGAATTCATCCACGTTTTTGCGATAACCCCAGCCCCCATATCAAATGAATGCACGAGAAAGTGGGGGCACGCTCTTCAGTACAAGGTACACAAAATCCAACACAAATAAGTCGTCCGGCATCGATGGGAGACCTCGGACAAAAAACCGATCAGGGGAAGAACATGAAGGGAAGTGCGTGACGGTCGGCGCGGTTCGAATGAAGACGTTCTCAAAGTTGAGCCGGCATTTTCGTAATGGAACTGCAGGGTTATGTGTGAAAGAAGATAGCGGGGTGCGACTAGTCATGTTATTCCCATTCAATGGTGGCCGGTGGTTTGCATGTTAGGTCGTACAAGACACGGGATATGCCTGGGACGCTTTGAACAGCTTTCTGAAGCTGTAAAACAACCTGAAAATCAAACGGAAAAGAAAAGTTAGAATTTGGATTACCACTCGCGAGCTGTTTTGATATTGAACACATGAAGGCATTGAAACAATACCTTCATAAACATCTAAAAAAAAGTACGGAGGTGGGAGGCCAAAAACGATTGCACATTGTTTGATGATCAAGCATAAAACATATTATTAATATTACTAATGATAATGGTAATAAAAGTAATACTGTAGATATAATAGTTCAGCAGTAGCATCCTTTCGGTGCCTGGCTACCATGCCAACAGAAGGAAGCACGAGGACTGAGGTACTGTCAGTTGGCCCAAGCCTTGACAGGAACAGACGAGATGCCAGGGTTAGGTTCGAACCATGAACCTTTCGGTCAGCAAGTTCGCGACTTAACCAACGCGTTATCTCAAGGACAAAAAACGCATAATTTTGTTATTTACAGGTTTACGTGATCCAGTGTGGCCTATAGAATGAATGATGGATATGGAATGAAGGAACTTTAGATGTCACGTGGGACTGAATAAGCACCAAGGCACAGAATCAACTAAAGCGAAAATCGCTCCGACGATTTGTATGGAATGTTTACAACCCGCTCGAATGGGTATTTAAAATGACCCTATACCGTTTTCATGCTGAAACGGTACACTTTTTATCAAACCCTGATAAAATAATCAAGAATCAACAGCAATCGTATTGGGCTGATACAAATCTGAGGAAAACTCAAAGTGGCTTAAAGAGTGTGCAACTTCATGACAAATTAAAAAGATTTTCAAACGTGCAACTTCCGTATTATAGGATTTTAACATATCTTGCGAATCATGTCGATGGATATGATGAAAAACTCGGTGCTATAAGTGTGATTTGGACAAAATGAAATGGACCCAGTAGCGTAACAAGGGGCATGACCATGAAAACCTATTTGTGTAACTGCCGTGCCCGTGACAATACTGTCTCAAATTAAGACTGAATGTTTTATGAAACCAACAAATCGTGAGAACGATGTGGAAAAAGCAAACTGCACTTGATTCGCACCTCTTCAGGTATGTGTTTGCCCGGAATAGCTGCTAAACCGGTCATGAAGTCAGACGTGATAACCGGTCGAAGTACGACCGAGCGGAGGATGGAGGGAACGGCAACAACCTGACTGGGGTCACGATCGAAATGAATTGGCAGTAGGACAACAGGTAGTTGGCTGACTTTGTCCAGAGTTCGTGTAGCTCGAAGCACGGTAGTTACACGATCGTCAACCTCGCGAAGTGTTTCGACTACAGGCTCCCGTAGGTAGGTCACTGTGATATCATTCACAGGATGGGCAACTTGTGGACCGAAGACGAAGACAACTCTGAACGATAACAAGCGAGAAGTTTTGAGAAGTTAAATAAAAAATGAACTAGAAACATAAAAAGAACACGGTCAGCACTGTTGTCACTGGTGTCGAGAAGTGAATTTAAGTAGCAGTGACGCACGCCACAAATCGAGCATGAGAAGACTATGGTCGCTGAGGGAACAACGCAAAGCCAAGTGGACAATAATAAGAAGCGCGCACTCTGGAGGAACACTACACAAGCCACAAGGAAACAAATGTTCCATCTGAGTTGTACACGGTTACCAGCTAAGGGTGACAGGGCAGCACGCGGATGTCTAAATCGGCACCGAAATCTGGCTTCCTAGCATGACAGAAGAGACCAACTGGGAAGGCGTAATCAAGACATATGAAATGAATACGAGCAGATTAAATAATAAGTTCGGTTTGTTTGCATTAAACAAGCTTCCATGATTTTTGTGTAGTTACACATTTTCGTAGTTACACATTTCTATTTAGGTCTCCCTTCTTAGACTTTCAAGTTCTCCCTCTTCTACCCTACCCCACCCAGGTTTGAATACTCTCTCCCCAGGTCCAAACACTAACAGCTATTCCTGCCACAAGCAAAAGAACATCAAATAGGCAACAACACACTGATGGGAGATTGGAAATCTTGTATACCAGCTAGCTGCTGATTTTACCAGATATTAACCTAGACAACTGCACAGTTGTCTACTTTGAATTTGACAGCGAAACATACCGAGAAAAAAACAGTGAAACATCACCCGACAATGATCGGAAAATGTGCCACACCCTAAACCACGAAGTCATAAATCTCTACGGATACCTCAATGGCGGACATCAAAAGTTTGGAGAATAAGCATGAGCATTGGTCATCTATGAAGTAAATTGTGCAACAACGCACCTGTTGATGTTGTGACATATTCGTGGGATGAGATGGGCCAAGAAAGACAGTGCATCCCAATCGGGGGCAGTGGAACTAGACAGAGCACATGCGTAGCTGTAGGTCCTCTGATCACCCTGAAAACAATGTATAAAAGTGAAACGTGGAACCATGGGAAGATTAACAATTTTGAATGAATGGTGCGCTGAAAGTTTTTTTACCTTCGACAAAAGCTTCCGTCCTAGGTCCTGACCTTATGAAGCGATATATACCAGGTGTCACTCGAGGAGAAACCAGGTAATAGAAAGATTACCACTGTGTTCCGTTTCACCTACGAGCCAGAAAGTTGGAAAGCCCACGTCAGAGACACATATGGTCGCTATCAATACGGTCGGTCCCATTTCTGTGGCCAGAAAAAAATACGTACCGAACCACGAGCTATTTCATGATATCCACCCCATTCGAAAGAACTATTTGTAACAACTAACGGTCTGTGTCGAACGCTAACATAGCGGGACCTGAAGTAAATGTACATATTATGGTTCCCTTTTGGGGTTAAAAGATAACCCTAAGCCTGTTGCCAGAAAACAAGAGATTCTCGGGTTTGATGTTTCCTGTGATGTTTTGGATAAAATAGACATATATGAACAGATTAGGCCGCTATTTAGAACTCAAATCGGCCTTTTTATAGCCCGACCGGGAAGCAATCTGATTTGACTGATATACCAAACACTAAAAAGTTAACCATCTCTCACCTGAAACCACATCGTTACACGTGTATTTCTGGCTAGTCGCTATCGCCACTTAAGAAAGCCAGATGTTTTAACAATATACAGTTGAGGAAAAGTTTTCAGATCTTATCCACTAACACTTCCTTTTTCGGTCCCTTTATCACTGTTCCATCATTTCGTCCTCCGATAACAGGAGGCATGAGAATGTTGTCCTCATCGACCACGCAACGAATGACTCGGTTGCATACATACAAACACATACAATCCAGCAGAAAAATAAACACACTGCGAACCTGAACTCCAACGGTGCGAAGTGGTAACAAATGGGCGGCAAGAGTGCGGTGCATTGTGATTTCTGACAGCCGATGTTGCTCCTCTGGACGTGCAACTGCATTGATTCTTGTTAGTAAGGCATGAGGCTGGAAGGTGAGAAATGTTGGGCTGAAATATAAATCTGATCGACGAAGAACGACACCGAAACTCCCCCCTAGAGAAGGACAGTAGAAAAACAAACGGAGTGCACAAAAATTAAGTCGAAAATAACTAGAACCGCGAGCTTTGTTCAACCGGTAGGTTGTACTGATCAGAAATAATGCAGCGTGCCGAGAGATGTGACTGGTCAACAACGAATATATTTTATCGGTAGACAGGTGAAATTCTGAATTTTTCAGAATGTCAGCAAGAGAACGTTCAGCGTGTCAGATACCACCAGTACTACCGGCGGGCCCCTCTCGAAAATGCACAGGTTCGGTTGCCAAACTGCCCGAAAAAAGCCGTGCTATGATGTTGATTTAGACAGAAGTACAAAATCCCGGCATAGTGTCTGTGTGCGTTCCAGTTTTCGGCTCCGGGGAGGAGCAAACTGAAAGCCGTGAGATGATAGTATAATAATATAATACCAATACTTCGGAGCGATGAGGACTTCAGCTGAAGAATGCAAAATGAGGACGCTTGCCAGCCCTTGTAAGGACAACCTACTCCGCTATCGCTGTAATCTTGACGTAGAAGTCGGGCTACGCTCTAGTTTCAGCGAACTAACTTATATCTCCTGTTCATTTCAGGACGCCAATAACTCACTGAAGAGTACGCTCCAGGATATATGTAACCATCATCTCTTCCAAGTTGGACCGTTGACTTTTTTCCAATTGAGATGAATGGGCGCGTTAGCCGTGCGCTTGAGCTAAGCTCGTTTAGCCGTCCGCTAGGCTCCATGCAGGTTGCATCTCGCCAGCTGAATGTGGATCCCTGTTAGTCATACACGTAAGACAGATCGAACGGCTCCATTTTATCAGCATTCTGTTTTCATCTCGAATAAGCTTATGAAGATCCGATAGCTTCTGTATTGAAATTTTGCCATCTTAGAAGAATTAGTGTTATGAACAATCCGGACCAAGTGCACTGTCACACTGAAGGGACGATATCTGACGCTAGATTCTCATTTTGGATGGGTCTCTGTTTAGACGTCCTGTAGCTCTTCCAGAAATTATGTGGAGGAAGATCGGTTTGAGTGTTCTTCGAAGAGTTCAGCCATCGCTCGAGGCTGTTTTGGCGAATGGAATACGAATCCATGCTTTCTGTGAATTATTTCACTTACGTTCACCTTCCTATGATTGGTACATCGAATAAAGTAGGCACATTTATTTCTTGTAGCGAGAGCCTTCTCCAAGCACTAGACCTTCGCTATCTACAAATGTTTCTTGTCATTCCTTAGGTGCTGGACTATGCGATGTTTGAAGCATCCTCGTGTATTGCATTGTGTAGGTGTAGGGTTGCGGATCATCATGATACCTACTGTTCATTTGATGGCTCGGACAGACGGTCTCTGTTGTTCTGTGTATAGGTATTCCCAATATCATTCTAACCTGTTCTGACCGAGAATTTTGAGCAATACGAATTCAACTATCTTAAGGCTAATCGAACTAATAAGCCAGCTAACACAACGTCATAATCAGAATCAAGTCGACTAACCTTGAATTGAAGCTCTCCACACGTAACCGTATAACTAAATCTATCGGCAGTTTGCAGTTGGTGGCTTCCAGGAGACAGCGATGGAACTTACTCAGCATAAAAATGAAGCAGCCGCTCCCGGTTATTCCTAAGATTGTTATCAACTTCGAACCCAGCACCCAATAGCGCCTCATCTGGATTTATTCTATAACAATCTGAACGTTCAAACCACAGCGCAATAACAGTGCATTCTAATCTGGAAGAAATAAGTGTGATAGATCTCGATAGAAGCCGCTTCAGAGATTCTCGAGCATATAATGACCAGTTACAAGTCGAGTTGTACCGATCTTAACTGAGCCAGTCAACCACAGAGCGTAAAGACGATCAAGTATTAGAAAACAATCGGCTAAAGCACGTTCGGCCTGAGGCTGAGTGCAACCCCCACGCCATAGACATGATTCACTGTGTCAGGGTCACCAGAGAAGGGCAAAATGTTAGGCAGCTAGTGACTTAAGAAGCAGAATACAGTTGAGGACTTGCGCATGTGTTTTAAACCTACACTGACAGAAGTGGAATTAAATTTCCAGAATGAGCTAGCAGTTGACCGATTCGGCACACAGCGTAAAACATTGAAAGTTATAACACTATTAAAGGGTTGTTTTCATGTATTTTAGTCAGCTACGACTTGAATACGGAACGATGATTAAGTGATTGACAGCTAAACGAAATCAGACAAGCAGATGGAAGTTAGGAGAGGATTGTGGAATGAGGATCAGTAAGTGAAGAGCTGTGAGGGTAGTGCTGCTACAGACATGAAGCCGTCTAACAATTGTCTACCACGTCCATCATCAAGAGAAACTCACAAAACCTGTCTCAATTTTTCTGTTAACTTCCTCAAAACAGGGCCAAAAGCTGGCAGTAGCTTAGTGGAAGTGGTCCTTGCACAATGGACGTTCTCATTTGCTCCAGTTAAAGGTGTATATGAAAACGTTTCCGTTTGGTAGTTTTTTACAAACACTTGCTGCTGTGGAACAGGCGCAAAAAGTGTTGGACGCCAAGGAAGGAAAGGTGAGCTTGGCGCTTGAGAACTGCTGAGAGAAGAATAAAGCGGCATCTCGGCTGGCAGCCGAAACGCAATCAGCTTGAATCTATAACTCAAACATAAGTAGAAATATATGAAAACCAAATCTGACTCACATTCTGTGACATGTGATGGTAACCGGCAATCATCTTGATCAAACTGGTTGTCTCAGAAAAGTCACGCTCCATGTATGGTTCAGCAGCACACAGGATGCGGATTGCTAGTCCTGGCCCTGGAAATGGATGTCGATTAACTATCTCCTCCGGCAATCCGAGCTGGCGACCAACCTGTCGGACCTCGTCCTTGTGGAAACTGGCTAAAGGTTCGATTATTCGACCCTAGGATTTATGAACGGGATAAGCAAACATGTGTGCGTATTCGATAGGAACACCTGCTCTTATAAACTATCGAAAAATAAGTCATGTATCCGCACAGGTGTGTGTTGAATAGCTTGATACGTACTGTATGCACATCCTGATGTCGGTTTGTCTATAGTTGTATAGCCAGCTGAGACATGTGCGGAAATACGCAATGAAAAAATAAAAACTGGGAAAACTTTGCCACGACGGATAACCCGTAATTGTTGCGTGTAGAGAATTCGATGAGCACCCTACAAGAGAAGAACGGAGTGCTTCAGCACCCGTTTTTCCTACACTACGGAAGAACTATATTTTTGCATTCGAGTGGCGCGAGAGCAGAACAAATCGACGACTTGATGGGATAGCACTCGCACAGAAAAAAAATAGTATACAATGGCAGTCTAACTGGACACGGGAAACTGAACAAAGTGGATTCATAAAAAACAGAAAGCAATTGAAACAATTGATTTGAGGCAGCATCCACAACAGAAACTAAGTAGGGTCACTCAAGGGATACTAGGTGGATCCCAAGCAACTGGATTTGAAGAGCATTTTTAAACCGTTTTGGGCCGTACGATTTCTGGGTGCATTTTGCTTTTTTCGACCTGGTTATCTCTGAATAGATTGCTGCAAAAGATTGCTGTAAAAGAGATCACATGCTAAACACAACTCACTCCATCAACCAAGTGGCATCCACGGGTGTATCATGCTCTTAGTAAAAATGCCAGATGGAAACAACACCAGTGGGGCGAGATGGCCCAAGCGGCTAGAGCGCGAATTTACTGATCGGAAGGTTCGTGGTTCGAACCCGACCTCTGCCTCTCGACCTCCCCTGTCTAGGCTTGGGCAACCTGGATGTATCCCAGCTCTCGTGCAACCTTTGGGTAGCATGACAGTTAGGCACCGAAAGGGTGCTACAGCTGAACTATATTCCAACTTGAAGGCAACACAGTTTAGAGACTAGTTCAAACGTGCATTTATTTTACTGTTTCGATGTCGGTCCCAAAACTTGATCGAAGCCTTTTAGAACATTTGATCACCACACGGGACCTATTACCACTATGGCAGGCATGTGGTTCACAGTTGCCCTGAACTATAAAGTGCTACCAATAAGAAAATTGGCTTCCTCATTGCAGTTCAGTAATTATCAGCAGCAGAACCATAAATTGCCATGATAAATACTGAACAAAGAAACCATGGATGTAACTGATACCTTGAAAGCACAACCGGTTCATCGCGACCCTAGGCGTACACTGAAATTTATTGGCTGCAGTTAACTAGAGACACGAGAAAAATTGCGCTCCAGTTCGTTCATGTTAGATTCCACCTGTCCGTGGTAGAAATCCATGCTGCTCGATGGCTATCAAGGATTGGATCAGCAAGACCCAGAGCAGATGATGGACAGTGAATTAGATATAAAAATAAATGCAGCATGATCCAACATTATTCATAGAGTTTGTTATAAGCAATAAAATCTGCCTAAACAATAAGACGGGAGTATACGTCACTATAGAACACGCATTTTCAAAACCAAATACTTTGAGTACCACCAACACTCAGCCCTGTCAACGAAAAAATAGATAGCCACCTGAGCGTCAGGAGTAAGTGGGAAATGACACCCAACCATGATCCACGGTCGTCACGTAATATTGGTAGCTGGGGTGAATTCATCGGCTGTTGGCCCCTTCGCCAAGCTTGATAATCATCCTGCACATGTTTCGTCATTAACTGAGAAGACGGCGATGGTGCACATCGTCAGTGTGCTCCCTATGCCTTGTCAACTAGTGAGGAAAGGTATGCAAGCCAATTTCCAATCGCTTGTGACACTGCAGTCGTCCGGTTGCTCTGAGACGGGACCACAAAAACCGGAAATTTCGTGCTACTTAAATGAAACCAGTAGGCGCAACAGATATGAAGTAAACAATGGATGCATCAGTTACCTCGCTCTGAAGGTGTTGTACCAATGCCGTTGTGTTGTGATGTGTCTTTATGACATCAGCCCTCAAGCTAACCTTCTGTGAAGCCGACTCTATCAAATCCGGTCGCAGAGTACCTAAAAGATGAACAAAGAGAGGAGACACGCAGGCATTGTGAATCACATACATTTTCGGGTACATAGATAGAACCATAAGGACTGGTAACTTGCAAACATGTCTGGAATGGGATCCATTATTCCATCTTTACTAGTCGAATGAATTCAAGGATAGGTTGTGCACTTCAGTATCTTTGCAAACGATAAGTTTCAATCTCCTTCAACATCGGGACCCTCTCACACTCAATGGATCGCTACAAATACGACGATTGGTCTTCTGAATTTACTTATTAGCAAATCGCCCACTTATCGAATGCACTTCCTAATATCAACCAGGACGAAAGCCCCTGTTGTAGCACAAACCTCTTCTCCCTCTTCCTCAAAATTAACTTCCTAAGATTAGCATGCTTTTAGTCATACTCAACTGGTTGTATTTCTATCGTTTCGCCTTTTTATGCCTGCTTTTGAGTCGTTTTTCTCCAAGATACTCTGACTACACTGTAATCCACGCACAAGATCAATAGAAAATGATTTAGTTATCTTCACAGAAGCTCAGCTTGCAACTCCCTTCTAGCAAGCTACTCAGCAATGGATACTGAGAGAATTAAGTCATAGTAAGAAAATGGTAATACGATGTACATCAGTGGGTTCGTTTGAAACTGAAACGCGATACGGTTTACATCGTGGAGTAACGTCGAAAATTCCGGCTAATATAGCTGCATGCCTGGTCTAATAGTAGAGGAAGTGGGTTGTTAGTTTCAAAGACGATGTGTTCTTTGGATAAACAAAGAGAGATCAATTCTACAGGGGCCGGTAACCTGATGGGGACGACAGAATACAGAAAGACGGGTCCCACTAGTGGAAAACCGAGAAATAGAGGCAAAAGAAGTATCTGATGAACAGCTATCGCAGTGACGTTAGAAAAAGACGTGAAGTCTTAATAATAGTGTTCATAAATCAATGGTTAATGGAGTGCCGGTGAGGGGTATGATTCCACACTGGATTAAGGGGGGGTTGGGACAAGTATGAAAGAACAGCGCCGAAAGATTAGGTGAATTCGAGATTTATTAAGGATAAAACCCGTCGCCAGAGTGAACTGTCTGAGTGCCGGTAAAAGAGACCAAAAGTGTCAATATGCTGATATCGCGGGGACTTTGACGAGTAATGACCTTAATAAGTCGCTGGAAAGAGTCAGACTAAAGAGGATGAACAAGATTGATCCTATAAAATTTTATCTGAGACAGGAAGACTAATGAAGATGAACACATAAAAGAACGTGGAAGGGTTGAACGTTGTTGAATTTGACATCCCAGCTGCGTAGTAGGGTCGGTATTCAGTGTCGGACAATCGGAGTCGAATTGAGCGCAGAAAGTCGTGAGAAAAGGAAAGGCACAAAGTGGCATCATCTATACAACCATGGATTGGATAACCTGCATACATAAAACGGTCTACATAAATACGAAAAAGTGCGAATGTTGGCTAGAACATCCATTCATCGTGTTCCGAGTCGGGTAGATAACTCTACTTAGCCTTACTTGTATGCAGTAACCACGGAATAGGTTTAGGATGCGGTTTCTCAGACTTAGATACACACCATACATTAGAGGTTTGCACTAATTGCACTAAATGCTTTATCAAATGTCTTCGATATGTCGAAAACATTCGTTTCACCAAAGTAATCCGGCGATAAAACGTGAGGACATAGGCCAAAATATCATTCGTGCAGCGGCGGTGTTCGAACCCAAGCTTGCAGCTACTTGAGAGGGCGTTGGCTTTAAGAGGGCGTGTCATCGTCATTTGGTGGTCGACACAGTATAGTACCCACAACATTGGGTTGGGATTAGATGAGTTTTTAACTCACAGTTAAAAACTAGAAGAACGAAAATCCAGGATAGAAAGTTATAAGGCCGGTATGGGAGAACGGGGATAGATGTACAATCCCGCCAATTACTGTCATTCTCTTTATTAAGTGTTTTACGATAACGATAAAGCAACTCGCATATTAGGTGTCCATCCACTGCAGCACTCCCTAAATGAAGGCGATTCTAAAAGGTACGGAATCCCTATTTTGGTAGTACCAGGTTTTTATGATAGAGAACCGCTAGAGAGAAAAGCCTCATTGCCCATAATGGACCCAGTTCTCCAGTAAGCCAAGGGATGATCAGTAACCGAAACAGCAACATGGAGGGAAGGTTGCATACACGTAAATTTGATCCACTGGATGATAGGACTATGGCAATTTTTGTCCAACTTCGTTATGCACAACACCTCAAGAAATTTAACGCATATAACCCTACGGAAGACGGCATAAACAAGAACGAGGGCTGAAAGCACATCAATTTCATACCGGTTAAGTCCCCGCTTGCGCAGTGCTCTAAGAAATCGAGCATAGTTCCAGATGAAGCCCACACAGCGTACGAATTGGCAGCTTTTCAGGTAAAGACAGAAAATCGCACACAGAACCAACTCTACATGTCCAAAACTTTACTAATTCAGTTGCACAGCAGCTGACATACGTGCCGTGGCTTACTTATATGGTTCTTACAATGAATACCTTCAATTTGGTTGGCAAATGGGGTAGCTGATATGGAACGACAGGTTAGCGCCAGTCATCTATAACCGTCAGAATATACCATCCTAGTTCCACGTACTCTTACCCAATAGGATGGACACTACTCTAGCGGTAAGTGAAACGGCAAATCGAACTGAGGCACTTGATTGGGGGCCGATTTCCCAATTAAGGTTAAGTGAAGGCTACAGTGTGTACCACCACAAGCTTTTGCACGCTGACGAAAACAGCACGGTCAATCCTGCTGCACCCACAGAGGCTTAATCATATGAACGGCTTAAACAGCCAATGGCGAGTACATGCAGCTATCGGTCCGACATCAGCCGTCCATCAGATGTTCGAACTACCTCGCAGATGACATCCTACGCTGAGGTTCACCATACCTGAGCCGGCCATCACAGGTGACAAAGGTGGTCGGGCACCTGATCATCCAAGCTGCCAGTAGATCGACATATTCTGAACCACAAGGGGTAGCAACAATATCATTATGTCCTATGGCTCTAGTACTGTTACAGTTCATAGGAAGGAATTCGCCGCTAATTATCACTGTCTGGTAAAACGTATCTACTGGACCAAACGACGCTGGGCAGTACATGCGCCGTATGTGTGTGCGAACTCGATTAGAAATTTCATTCTACGTTGTGATAAGATTCCAAAAATTAAAACTCAAGCGCGACATGCATAAAATCGAAGAGCACCGCTCACCCTGACAAAGTAGTAAGGAGTCGGCATCCAAGTTAAGCTCAGTCCAAGTCTCTTGGGCAACCCTCATAAACGTGTCACCGATAATTCGGCGCTTCTCCTCAGGATTAGTTGTTGCGCTATTCAACGGCCCGATAGGAATGTTACGCAATTCAGTGTGCGTTGTGAAACCTCCACCACTCAATCGTTGTTGCCTCCTCTCGGTGGGTGTTGTAGAATCTGTAAAGTGCGAGAGGGTAGTTGTGCTCAATTTCAATTCAGGTTTTGTATCACAGTATTCGTCCGGTGTGGGTTTAACGTCCTTGCATTCCGGCCCAAGTGGGCTAGCAGCTGATTCCGACTGAGCTTTCGATGGAAGGATGATAGCTGGGGCAAGCGATTCCGTTTTGATCGGCACTTGGAAAGTGGTCATGCCCGATTGAAAGCGCAGTCGAGCATTCACAAAGTGTACTGAAACAGTGTTAGGAGTGATTATCTGATTTGGACAAAACATACCATTAATTCCAATGGCCTTCAGGGATTCCAGCACGGCCTTTGATTCATTTTTCCTCATAAATCCGTTGTCTATATGGACGGCAACTATTTGCGAAGGACTGATTGTTTGAGCCAATAGCGCCGCACAGACCGTTGAATCAACACCACCACTCAAAAGCACCTGAAGGAGAAAATAACAATTAAGGCAGTGTCGCTCAATTAAATTACGTCTTGGCTCAATTAGTTGCGATCTGCCCTCCAGGATCAAAGCCACATAACACTCCCTGTGCTTGACTGCAGACATTGAAAGATATGGCGGTTAACCGATATTAGTCCCTATCCAGACTATCTGACTGAGTGTTGGATGGTTGTAATAGGATAGCTCTTTTTGCTTCCTCTGGTTGTAGAGCTTTACGTAAGTAGCTAAATAGTTGTGAGGTAGTTGAACAGCAGTGTTCTACAAGTGTATGGCTGTCAATGATGGTATAGTTGTCACGGCTCAGACAGGAAAGCCAAAAGATCAGGGATTGATTCGAACTGCGGACCATTCAGTCACATCTATAAATCTGAAGTGCAGTTCTTCAAACTAAGCTGAAATAAACCAGTGTGAATTCTAGCCCAATATTAAAACCATTGATACGCGCACTACAGCTGATACACTCGCATTGTTAAACAATTATCAACAAGATATATTCCCATCGCTATCACTGGGAAGTTATCTACATCTTTCTTGGTGGGCCCAGCTGCCAACTCGTCTCCCGATAGCTACGGAATTTGAGGGGAAACCCCTGAACTGGAGACGTGAATCCAGTGAGTATAGCCATGGCTGCTCGACCGGTGCGGTCAGCGGAACGGAGTCAACACGCACTGAGGACAAAATATTGGGTACGGAAACGCGACTAGGTACACAGCTGGGCTAGATTTACGATAATCGGAGTACTGTTTCGTGGCCCTCAGTCAATGTTTGTTTCTTCTGGTTACATCCCAACTAGTTGGCAAGCCCGGTACTGAGGCCAGCTACGTCGCAGAGGAGAGTTGACAACCGAGACATTGTTTTTCCCATATGAATATCATAAAATTATCATCTACATTAACCTAATATCGTCCACGTTACAGGATCGAGGTCTACCGAGTGTGACGACTAAGTCAGTCATTTTTGGCTAGAATGCAATTACTGCCTGCCCATGCACAGCAGGACTGATAGGCTACTTCAAAATCAAAGGTGTATGCACATTATTCTTCTTTGTCCTGACCGACAGCGGTTTAGAACAAATATGAGATTGTTTACGTGAATAACGGTGGACGACAAACAAATCCACTGTAGTTTTCAGCCTTGAATCCTGCGTGGGGCAATTCACAGAAAAAGAAGAGGCAAGAATAGCTTATTTACAAACGCACTGTTAATTCGATAAAGGAATCCCGCGCATCACTGATTTCGATTTTGGGCCATTTCAAAAAGGTCATTAGCTCATCCGGAAAATCTTGGTCAGCCTACAAAGGCTAAGTACTTTGGTGCTTTGGCCACATTATTTGCCGACTTCCCGTAAGTTTTTCCCAGCCCGATCCAGTGCCTATAAATAAGGCTTAACGAGGGAGTCGTTGACTTGTTATCCTTACGACTTGCCCAGCCATCGTAATTGGTGCCATATTATTATTAGACTCACGTCACGAGGTTGTCCTCTGCCAAAACTTCGTTAACCACATGTTTCCCCCCCCCCTATATGTGGACAATCCTTCGTAAGCAACTGTGATCAAACTCGATCAACCTCTCCTTAATTTCCACTCGGAGGGCACATGCTTACCATTCACAGACGCATAGCACGTACTGGAGTGATGTACACCCGGCGTACAGGTCGTGCTTGTGCTACAGACGACCGAGAATTAGACACCGATTAGGCTGTATGGGAGTTGAGCGCTAGTAGTTAATGGCGCTGGCATTTCACTGCTATCGACTATGATTCTGTCCTCGCTAGCAATGAATCGTCAGGTACTAGTAATAAGTGGTGCTTGCATAACCTACCGTATGCATTTATTACAAGATCCAAGGGTCCCGAAACAAAAACTGATTTGAAGAGACCCAAAGCTGGTCAGATGAAGCATATGTGCTTTAGCACATATGCTTCATCTGACCAATGGTTCCAATGGTTCCCAGACAAATCTGGAACCTATAACTTATGCGCCCTTGGAAACGGTTGTGGATGAAGGGAAACGGATGTAGCAACATACTAAACTGGGTTACGCTATACAACAGCAGATATCATGTTAGAAGCAGTTGACGAAAAACAATACAGTTAGTCCAAAAACGAAACTATAATTAAACGTTTTAGAAACCAAAACACCTACTAAATGAATGTATATTGGTAGTCTGCAAAAATAGTTGAGTTATGGAAGTTTGTAGACCTCCTTTTTCCTTAGACAAATTACTCGTAGAGCTTCTCTTCTAGTTCCGATGTTAACAGTTTCTTGAGTGAACCCTCTGTCTCTGGAAACTTTAGACTTCGTCTTATTCTGTACTTTCATCGATGCACCAAGACTGACAATTGCGGATAGACTGTATTCAGTCTCTCAATCATTCTGTCCCGCTCCACTGGATACAGTCTTAATTTTTTTGGAACAACGACAACTAATTGCCCAGGGCAGCCACTAGTAAACCGAACCCCGCGGCCCCAGCAAACGTTATACAAGTGACGTGAATTGTGTCCAACCAAGAACTGATGATCACGTATCTATCATTGACTTGTATCCATTATGCTTAAATTATTAAGCGAAACATGGTCAGGGTGATCGATAAAACTGCCGACTACTCGCACACTGATATTTTCTTTTGTATTTGTTGCTTGTTCGACTACTGCGAGAGTTTGTTGGCGCAGTGATAAAAACAGCAAAAGGGAAAACTTTCCAATTCAATGTGCTACTTAGCTAGAAGTTTCTTACTCACCACACAAAATATGGAATCGGCAAAAACGTCTCCATCTTTGTGATGTCTCTTTTGTATGAGTTTCTTACTCTTGGTCAAGCAGTACTGTAAGCTGCAAATTAACCGCAAGAGGTTCATGAATAAGGAAAATTAGGAACCGGACCATCTTGGGCCTCACAGCCGAAAATGGAAGAACCTACTCCCAAACATCCGATTTTACACGATGAACCTGCGACAGTAAAGAATGCTCACCCAATAATACGTGTAAGCAAAGATAACAGGTAGAGATAAGCGTTACGTAACACCAAAACGAATATCTTACTTACCAACACTTTTTTCTGACCAACAAGTTCTTGAATCTCGGTTTTGCATTCTATCAATCGATCCTTGAGTTGAAAGTCTCCTTTGAGTCCACATATGCCGAATAGGAAGTTATGGAGTATTCTCCGGCCGCATGGGGTAAGTTCCACCTCCGGATGGAACTGCACGCCATACAGGCGCTTCTGGTCATTTCCGATTCCTGGAAGCGCAACATATCGATAAAACTTGGACCAGCGTCAAAGTGGAAAAGTGGAGCAACATTTGTGTAGAATAAGATGGGTTTGTAAACTAAACCTCAAAGATAAAACGATATATTGATGTCCACACACCTATTCAGTGGCAGAACTCCACCATCTGTATAACGGCCATATATCCATACTAAATACTATCGGCTGTAGGGATAGTGTCACTAATCTAACGATGGCCAGCCTTCCTCAACTGTACAGCAACGGAAACTCCAGGTTTCAGAACCAGTCTGTAAGTTGAATTTACCTCTGACATACTGGTCGCCGTTGTCTGGTTAATGTGCAGCTGCCTGACCAATCATAGGACGGTTAGTGTCGGTCTCCAAGTATACTAGCCAGTTTGTGGAAATTTCAGTTGAGAATTCGTCTTGAAAATGAAGTCAATTTATGCTGGAAAGCCAGTACTCAGGATTACAACCTGGACGAGTCCATTCAGACAGAGCTGCGCTCCAGCGGTCATAGAAGACCTAGAGCCGCGATAACCAGCCGAGTTGAGCTAAAACGACCATGCATAATCAACAGGCTGGCGGAATACTGAAAAGGCAATGAACAGATTGCATAGGGCGACTACAATGAATTAGGTTCTCAACTGGCCACTCAGTCAACCGGACGTTGTGTATTTTCAGAATTTTCTCTGCATAGCTGACTGACAATTCCCATTTACTGTCTTTTTGACTCGCTGGAAATCGCGGGCACCTTACTCTGGCCACCTCCTTTCCCGGAGACGCATGTGGCCTTTCGGATCAACCAATGGTAGTAACATTAACTGCGTTGTGACCAAGCAATACTGGCGAGATAACAGTTCCTTGTAGATAAACTATGTTGAGATACGGAGCGGAGATGAGTATCAGTAGTCTAAGATATAGTTTGAAGGTCATTTCGTAACATACACATCAACACTGAAAGTCTTTTGACGTCCCCGGCGCGCAGCAGCCAGGTTTCTGATCCATATAGTAATATAGAGCGCACCGCAGCATTGTAAACTCAATCCTTGACAGAGAAATTGATGTCACGCCTACGCCACAGGTGACGTAGGTTCGCAAAAGCTGTTCTGGCCTTCCCAATCCGGATAGAAATATCATCTTTCGCGAGACCACCGGGACTGATACAGCTGCCCAGGTAAACAAATTTGGCTACTACCTCAATGGGTTCACCCGCAAGCATGAGGCTAGGGTTCGAGTCCACCCAGTCTTGCAGTGACACTTTACACTTTGCAGGTGTGAAGCACATACCGAACCGCGAGGCAGAATTATTTAGATTATTTAATATTGTTTGCATTACGACGGGTCAGATCCAAGAAGAGCTATGTCGTCTGCGTACTCGATATTTGTGAGCGGAGGCCCAGGGAGCACTTCGACCCCACAGGCATTAGAGGCTGGTAGTGAGTCTTCCATGATCGTATCAATGACGAAGTTGAAGAGGAAAGGTGAAAGAGGACAGCCCTGTCGGACACCACTGGATGTGGTGAACTTAGGAGAAAGCTTCCCGTAGACCTTTACACGGCCGCGGGAGTTGGCGTACAGCACCTTAATGAGGGTCAAGAACTTAAGGGGGACACCTTTGCTCCACAGACACTGCCACAGTGCTTGGCGGTCCACAGAGTCAAAGGCAGCTTTTAGATGTCTTCGGAGCATTGCCCGAATCTGGTGGGAACACCGGATCAGCAATTCTGAAGTACGTCGAATGGTATTCGGGAGAAATAACTCACCATCGATAGATGAACTGATCACACTGCATTGGTTGCGCTGGCTTGGCCACGTGTTGAGTACGCCGGTCGACCGACTTCCTCGAAGGGCTCTTTTCGCACAACCACGTGAAGGATGGAAGAGAGCCAGAGGCAGTCAAACAATGACTTGGCAGCGAAGTATGAAAGCCATTACCAGAAAACAGCTACGCTGGTCACTGCCGTCTTCCTGGATTGGGACTCCGAGACGGGCCACATCAATGGCTAGAGACATTGTAAGACATGGTCCAGTCGCGCCCTCAATGGCGCTCGTGCATCCAAGCTATTGTCCTCAATGCATAGCTCCTTTTCCAAACCTCCCCCCATTTGACAACCCACTGACAGTGCTGGATTTATGCGCCAATTTATCAGCTCCCGCCTGCAATGCCCAGCTACCTACCCCTCCCCCAAATCATCGGTGAACGAAACTGCGGCAGCTACAACCACTGTACGACGAGTACGCGGTTATTACAGCTGACAATGACGATGGTGATGGTACACATCAACAGTGTGGAGTTTGCACCCTAGTTGTCAGAAAATTTTACACGCTCAACGGTGGTAACGCCTTCGCTTCAAAAAAGCTGTGCTAGCAAACCTCGAGCCTGAAACTCACAAACTGGTCGCCCAAACGAGGACAAATTCGCCGAGGCTTCATGTCACAGACGAACCGGTAGTAAGAGCATTATGATCAATTATGATCACTCTCGTTGCGACAAACGTCCTTAAAAAGAAGTCACCTTGTCGTAGAGGACAGATACCATGAGCTATTAGCGGCAGCTGACCAGCTCCCATTCAATCAGGCCACACAAACTGACCAGAATTCTCATTATGATCATTATCCTTAACAGCGGAGAACATTAGTGCTTCCCAGAAGTCTATTCAATCGGATATGACCATAATTTTGGCCCCAAAATAAATGCTTCCGATTGGGTTAGCATTGCAGTCATGCTGAAAAAAAACTGTATATCGCTCATCGCAATCTACGGATAATCAGCAACCTCAATGAGGGATTTCAGACAAACTGTTAGCTTCCGTTTCAAAAACAGCCCGTTTCGTGCCAGTATGCAAGTCAACATGATCAAGATCGATGCATCACAAGGTGAATGCTATCCACTTGTAACGCCAGTACACATCTTAAAAGACAGATACTATCGACTGGAATATATCTGGGCTAGTAAATGGAAGCCAGATAGGAAGTGGACTTGATCAATGCAATTCATAGTTCCGGAAAAATCCTTAAACACAAAACCAGTAATGGTACCCGTTTATCCGAGTCCATAAAAATCTACCACGTCCTCATTAAACACACCAGTAGGTCAGACACGCCATATAATGAAAACTAGAATAAATTCATGGATGACTCATGACTGCCGGAAATCGATCGACAAAACTAACACGGCCAGTATTCACATACTGAACGGAAGGATGGGAAAGAGGGTAAGGACGCCGTTCAAAAGTTACCTGTTGAGTTCCGTCAGGAAAAGACTGAACCGTCACGAAGAGACGATCTGCGCGCCAATGTGAACTACACTGGTGGATGTCCCTGTGACACCAGCAGAGTCCCTCATACTACGTTGGTTAGTGGTTAGATATCTAATGAATTCTGCTGATCCACCAGGTTGGGGTTTGGAACTTGTGTAGTGACTCGTTCGTTCGCAAATACGTGATACGTTGGCATTAGGCGCCAAATACCGCTTCAATATGGCGAGCCCATCGTGCCAAAGGTTCTGGCTGAAGACCACAATAGTCCTCCTGTCTAGGTCTGGGCGCCCTCGGGGTATCTTGGCCTAAGTACAACAATGACTCCAAAAACAAAAAAATAATGTCATGCTACATCGGCCGTCACGTGGTTTCATGAGACGGTTTCATCGCCTTGCTGCATACAGCAAGGTAAGCACACGAAAACGGGCTATTGCTCTTTCATTCTTTCTCTTCCACAAGAGTTTTCTTCCCCCTTCCTCCACCCCATTATTAACCTTCTTTTCGGAGGCCCATTCGTTAAGACTGAAAACCCTGTTCCTCTTGTGCCCGTTTTCGGCTGTTATATTTGCAAGTCAGCCGGGAATGATAGCCTTGTACACCCCGAAAAAAAAATTCAAGCCTCGACACCCCATATTTCTGGTTGATTCAAGGTAAGCAAAACGGGCTATTGCTCTTTCATTCTTTCTCTTCCACAAGAGTTTTCTTCCCCCTTCCTCCACCCCATTATTAACCTTCTTTTCGGAGGCCCATTCGTTAAGACTGAAAACCCTGTTCCTCTTGTGCCCGTTTTCGGCTGTTATATTTGCAAGTCAGCCGGGAATGATAGCCTTGTACATCCCGAAAAAAAAAATTCAACCCTCGACACCCCATATTTCTGGTTGATTTTAATGTTCACACTGTGAAGCAAGCGGAACAGGTTGATCTTGCTCTCACACTGCGCTTGGTACTGGAGAAAAAGAAGCAACAAACGAGGACATTGAAAGCGATAACTAAGGATGCGAGCAAAGCGTTTGAGCTGACTGCTCAATCACTCTCTACTCGCTTCCGGTTGCGTAACTCTAGCGATCCAGAGGCCGCTGCGGCTGGTTGTCAGCAACTTCCCAAGTCACCGGGCAAAAGGATTCCCGCTTGATTGGATATTGGTTGATAGTCGCTCTAGTGCCGTTCGTCCAGCAACGCCTGTGAAATCTCACAAGCAGAAGGTTGACCGTGGCCTATTCGTCGCGAACGCCGGTGTGTCACTGTAGAAGTCTCATATACCGCCGAGTTCCTGTTCCGGTTCATAGTCCTGTATTGTTTAAGGACAGATCCTCAGTTAGCGATCGTCTAATCCCTTGGCTTACATTTGGGAAAAGGAGACCATTCTAGACAAGCGGACATTCAGTATTAGTGCTCTGTTTGTAAAGAAAAGAGCTCGCACTGAATGCGACAATCACAGGGAGAACAGCTTTCTCACGGCCACGAGACCCTTGTCCTTGGTTTCCCAATGTTACAGGAAGCATTGGTTCGATAACAGCAAGCGGGGTTTAGGCTTGATAAGCAAGAAATCCCCGGGAGCTTGTCAATATATAAGTTCTTTGCATTCTCAAACTTGCTGTTAAGTGTACACGGAGAGCTCCGAAAAACGCTCGTACCCTTCCCTTTTATTTTCAACCAACCAGAGACCACAGATCACTTTAGATGCTACAATTACCAGACGCAGTAGGACATCGTTCGTAGATCGTTTTGAGTGTTGATAGTACGGGACTG